TGACTTCAGGTCCGATTTACGCTATCTTACATATGTTAAAACGAAATACTTTCTATACGAAAGTTGTAGCCTTACATCTTAGGAATCCACAGAATCAAACGGTTTGCAATTCCGTGAAGAAACGATGGAGATATGCCCAAATTACCGCAGGCTGTCCAGTTGTGACGGAAATGACAAAGTTGGCAAATTTCGATGTTGTTTCCACTCCCGCTCATCCGTAAGGTTTCGGCCGATGATTTCCAGGTCTGTACCTTTGCGTTAGACTTGTCGAATCATTCATCACATGCGTACATGAACATATATGTTAATCCATATGTTGAAATCATCCCAAAAATAAATATGTGATACATATAAGTATTAGAAATGCTTCAACTACATAGATTGTTAATCATAAGTGTTAAAATAACTCAAAGAAGTATTTTAAATATCCAAAAATATCAAAAATAGGATTTGCACACCCGAACGGTCGACGTAAACGGTCAACCGTCGTATTAAATATTGAAACGAAACAAGACTGTCAGACAAACGGTCGACCGCCGCCTGCCCAGTCAAGACCGCCGTTTTTCCTCCAGTCAACAACGGTCGACCGCCGTTCAACCACGGTCGACCGTCACGGTGATTCTCCAAACTCGACGCGATGAATTTCGCGGTCGACCGTCGCGCCAAACGGTCGACCGTTCCGAGCCTCGTAGTTTAATTAAATGATATTTTTATCAGATTACATCCAAATAAAATAAAGTATATTTATCCAATCATGTTGTTTACAAATTGTTCATATCATGTGATTCATTTCATCATTCATATTGAAACATATCACATCATGTGCATGCGCAAGAGATCAGACTGAAGTGCGTCTCTTGTAGTTGTGATTGTGCGGGACTTAGCAGTCCGACATCACGGACCGAGCTTAGTGTACGTACATGGTACTTAGATTTTCGAGTACCACCCCTATTTCTGCGTGAGTTCGTCGTACCAAATGGGCGAATCTCATAGTTCAAGGCTCGTCCTTGCGACTTAGAATCATGCAGCATGAAGTCATCATCAAGTAAAATCATCATGACTATGTGTGACATCAATTACGCATCATGTTATCATCATCAAGTACATCAATTACATAGATGTCATGTAATCATCATCAAAAACAAGTATATATGGATTATATGAGTATCATGTAATCATCCTCACAAGCAAATTGATTTATTGTGCCATCATGTAATTATCATTAAATATTTATCATTATGATTCATCAAATTGTCCATATGATATAATGGGCCATATTATGAATATTATTATTATTATACTTTTTGTGGACATATATATGTAAATGTATATGTCTATGAATTATTCTACAATTCTAGCGTGGTACCACTCAGCGGTTTCGCTGAGCGTGTAGTTTGTATTTTTTCGTTGACTACACGTAGGTAACAAGAAGACAATGATGGAACCTTTCCCGGAGGGCATTGAGTCAGAGGAGATGCAAGGATGGCAGGCAATGTTTGGTCAATAGATTTTAAAATGTGTCATGATTTGATTATTATTGTACTTCCGCATTACTCTGAAAATATTTTTAAATGGGTCGCGATCCAGAGTCTGTAAATTTAATATTTATAAGTAATTGTCATTTTCAAATGTCAAGCGAAATTTTTATTTAACTCTCGTTTCACCTTAATTTGTGTAATTCCGGGTTTTACAGATTGGGGTGTTACAAACTACTTTCCCGATTATATCTGAAAATCCATAAAAATACAATTTTAAAAATTTCATAATCATAATACATAAAATGTATTTCATATGTGTAAGTATTTAAGTTATGTAAATGTAAATGACTCTTACTAACTAAAAAGATTTGGTCAGCAAACTTTGTTTTGAGTACATCTTCAAAACTCTTAAAGTAGAATCAAAAATTAGGAAATCCATTTTCTGTTAGTTTTTGAATCTTGGTCTTTCCCAAAAATTGGAGCATGCAAGGGTGATTGGTAGTTTTTGTGCCTTGGAAATTGCGTAAAACCTTGACCCTCATGAAGCTTGTTTGAATGTGCTTATATCAGTATCTTTAATCTGAGCATGGATCCGATCGCCCTAACAACAAATATAAAACGTTAATCTATAATTAAATTTATATTTTTTGTTTAAAGATCTATTATATGTAAAATATAAAACAATGTAGAACTAACCTGTGAGTCGTGGAAAACAACATCCAACGATCCCGGTCCTCGAGAATGAGCAACAACGTGGTAAACTCTAATTACTCTTAGCTTCATCATCAACAACCCGGATTTTTCATGAACATTTTTTAGGGCGGTAATCATTCCCATGTTCGGCCAAAAACAGAGGTGAAGCACCGATTAATTACAACTCTCTAAAACTCTCATTTCCTGAACACTCGTTTAATTTTCTGGCACGGTAAGGTATCGTATTTATACTATCCAGAATTTTCACGAAGAATTAAAGTTTTTTTATGGTAATGGTAATTATAATTACATACAATTATGGTTTATTACGGTAATCTATTATATTATGGTAATGAAAGGAAATTGTGGTAATTACAATTAAAGTTTATGATAACATATAATTCCTTTCTCCGGAATCTTAAGCAAATACAACTAAAGTTTATTATGGTAATTACATCTTTAAATACCTTTTCTGTTACCTTTTATTATTACCATTCGTATAAATTGTTTTATTTCATACGTTTTTATATACAAAAATATAGGAGCTAAATTAAATAAAATTTCCATTCGTACCTTTTTTATACACATTTATATTAAATTGCCATTAACATTCGTTACCATTTTAATTACACGGTTATATTAAATTACCATTTTTAGTTGAGCATTCGTTACCTTTTTTTATATTTAAAATTACACGGTTATATGTTGATCACAATTACCCTAATTTTATATTCACGGTAATATTAATTGAGTAATTATTACTCATTACGGTAAGTAAATTAAATTAAATTTTCATTCGTTACCTTTTTTACACACGTTTATATTAAATTAACATTCGTTGCGATTTTAATTACACGGTTATATTAAATTACCATTTTTAGTTGAGCATTCGTTACCTTTTTTATACACGGTTTTTATACCTTTTTTATACACGGTTATTTTAAATTACACGGTTATATGTTGATCACAATTACACTAATTTTATATTCATGGTAATATTAATTGAGTAATTACTCAATTACGGTAACTAAATTAAATTAAATTTCCATTCGTTACCTTTTTTATACACGTTTATATTAAATTATCATTCGTTACCATTTTAATTACACGGTTATATTAAATTACCATTTTTAGTTGAGCATTCGTTACCTTTTTTATACACGGTTTTTATACCTTTTTCATACCTTTTTTATACACGGTTATTTTAATGATCCATTAATTACCATTTAGTAATTACCATATGGAGTGAAGAATTATCATATTTTATACACCATGAAATTGGCGGGAAAAGAACAATGCAAATTCATGCCTTTTTAAATAATAGATAGATTGTATAATTATATATTGTCCGATGCCATGTCATTTTCCTTTAAAACAAAGACGGAGTATACGATGATGGGTCGGTCCTCATACTTGCTGTTTTTGTTCATTTCTTTTCATTTGGGTTAATAGCATGGGCACCCCTTGTGGTTTACAAAAAGAACGTCAAAACCCATCCTGTTTTTAAAAGTTATTTGTAAAGTCCCTGTGGTTTCTAAATAGAGCACACATGCCCTCCTTACCTATTTTTAAAGCAAAAATGACATTTATGCCCTTTGTTTTCCCCGATCTTGAATTTTTACGATTTTAATTTTCTTTATTATACAAATATATAAAATAAAATATATGCTTCCCATCTCAAATTAGAATTTTTTTATAATGTACTTTTGAAAACAAAATATTTTTTGGAGAATGTTACAAAAAATGAAAAATAAAATATTATGTACAAAGTAAAAAGTAATAACAGTTAAAAAAAGTAATGAAAAGAAATAAAAATATAAAAAATAATCTTTTTCTTTAAATCCTTAATTTAAAAATGAAATATGAAGAACTATTTTTTATTCATATTTAACTGTTCTTCATATTTCATTTTTAAATTAAGGAGTTAAAGAAAAAGACTATTTTTTATATTTTTATTTCTTTTCATTACTTTTTTTAACTGTTATTACTTTTTACTTTGTACATAATATTTTATTTTTCATTTTTTTGTAACATTCTCCAAAAAATATTTTGTTTTCAAAAGTACTTTATGAAAAATTCTAATTTGAGATGGGAAGCATATATTTTATTTTATATATTTGTATAATAAAGGAAATTAAAATCGGAAAAATTCAAGATTGGGGAAAACAAAGGGAATAAATGTCATTTTTGCTTTAAAAATAGGTAAGGGGGGGCATGTGTGCTCTATTTAAAAACCACAGGGACTTTACAAATAACTTTTGAAAACAGGGGGGGTTTTGACGCCCTTTTTGTAAACCACAGGGGGTGCCCATGCTATTAACCCCTTCTCATTTTGATTTTCTTTGTCAATGTTTATACTCTTTCTGTCCCTAAATATTTGCCACACTTGTATTCCCGAGGTAAAATATCAAGTTTTTTCAATTCATTTTATTTACATATTGGTATAGAAATAAAAAATAAAATTTACATATCAAAAAACTACATGAAAAGTTCTTCGAAATAAGAGGTGTCAAGAATATTTTATTTTATCAAATAACCAATGAAAACGTAGAAATAAACAAAAGTTCCCGCGACTGCTGAAAAAGCAAATGTTGTGAATATTTTGGAACGGAGGGAGTAAATATTGACTGCCCGGAGTATAAATTAAGAGAGATAAATCTACTTGGTTGTGACTTGTGATATAGATTTATTATGAACCAGCAAATATATTTACTTTTTTACTAGAGTAATTCTATAAATAGTGAGTATGTAATCTTCCATATTTAGTCATCAATTTTAAAATATTATATAAATATTCTTCAGTTTTTGAAAATTATTCCATAAAGGGTCCTTTAGGTACTATTTGCAGAAAAAAGTATTTTGTCATGTTTGGCGTAAAGGACTATTTATAGAATAGTTTTCAAAAATTGAATACTATTTATGTAATATCTTAGAATTGGAGACTAAAAATGAAAAATCACTTGTAATGAGGGACTATTTATGTAATTTTTTTTCTTTTTATGAACAGTAAAAAAACTTCATTCTAAAAATGCTAATATTTCTTTTTGGAGGACTAAAAATGCATATATTGATTACAAATGTCAAACAAGGTATTTGCCGTGCCATGTATATGAGTGATAATAAATGACTTGCATGTATATTGGGAGTAAAAAAAAAGAACATATAATTCCACCCGAAATATGACAGGGACGCAAAATTGGAGAATATTTCAACTTTGTAGACTTTTTGTGCTAAAATACGAGTAATACACTCCATATATAATTCGGTCTGACTTGGACATGTTACTATATATTGGGATTACATATATATATTCCGTACGAATGGTATAAAGTGTCTTTGGGAATAGCGTTAGAGGTTAGCGCGTTTGTATTTTAGGACCAACGGTACAACGTTTTAAATTGTTTAGAGGTATTTAGTATACTTTTTAATGTTCAGGGCTAAACTGTACAATTTCTAAAGAGTCCAGAAATAAACGTTACATTTTTTTCTTATAACAAATAAGGGTTTTTTTTCGTAAGTTTAATTAGTCTGGAGTCTAATAACAAAAAATTATACGTAGTACTCTTCAAATTTGTACTTCTTCTTGAGATGAAGCCGAAACCTTGCTCATAAACGTGATCGTGAAGGCGACAAAATTTTTATCCAATTGTAGATAATGGTTAGATTTGTATGTTTTTTTTTCAAATATGAATTGTGTTTAATTTTTTTCCGATGTTTTTTAATTGTGTACCAATATTTTTATTGTATCTAAATTTTTAAATGTATTCCTAAGATGTCTCCCATTTCAAAACTGGGTTTGGATTTATGCTTCATATTCTCCATCAACACGGTTTCGTACGAGCTAAGCTAGCCAGCTGCACTGCATCTAGTTTTGAAATGGTAAAAATATGTCTTAGTTTCTGCTCCCTTCGCCCTTGAGTATTTCTCTAATTTTGACTTTTTCAGTTAAAATTGGTAAATTTTGACTTCAAATTATAAAAAAATGATATTAGATATTGATACAAAAATAGTTTTATTAGATTTATTATATCAAATATTTTCAAAATATTATTTTACCTTATTAATATACAATATACGGAGTATATTTTATTTAATTATAGGTCAAAGGTTAAAAACGAATGACTGAAAAAGTCAAAACTTGACAAATACTCAAAGAAGGAAGTAGTATAAATTTTAAGTCTTTCTCTTTTTATTCCGTACGTTCAAAAAAATTGTCTCATTTTGTATCATTTTTACTTTTCATCAGTTATTTAATAAAATAAATAATTCTTTTTTATATCTTATTTCATAGAACTTTGATATATACTTTTAAAATATTTAATTATATTTTTTATTTTCATGAAAACTTATAAATAAAATAATTTTAAAAGTAATGTATGTGAGACACATATTTGAAACAAATTAAGGGGAGTATAGTTTTTCTTTCTTTCTAGAAGCATCATCCATACAGTCTGAACTTGTTGCCAAAAACAGTCTCCGTACATGCACGAACCGACATATAGCACCCTTTGGTTGGTACAATAAGAGAGTTTTAGTTTGAATAACTTTACTTAAAT